TGCCCTGTGCTGACTTTTGCGCCGTTGTCCTCTCCAGTGCTGGTCCACGGGGACCATCAGCCACATCCCCTTCTTCTTCCTGAGCTCCCGCCTGCCCTACGGCAGCCCCGGCCGCAGCCCCGCCGTGGTGACAGCCAGCAGCAGCGTGCGGGAGCAGCCGCTCTTCTCGGAGCTCTGACAGCAGCTCAGGACGTTTGGGATCCATCTGCAGTTCCCTGGGACACCGCGGGGCTGCGATCCCTTCCTGTACCCCCGCAGGTTCTGCACGGCTCCGTGCTCTCAATTCTGTGGAATGTGGGGTTCAGCCGTCGAGCGCCGTGCAGATTAAAGGTGGCTCCTCCTCCCCACGCCTGGCGCTGCTCCTCGCTCTGTCCTTGTCCAGGGAAAACAAGGAAACGTTCCTTGGAAGTCTGTTGGGGGGATGCGTTCTCAAAGCCACTCGGGTTTGTTTCTGGGGCTCTGGTGCCGCTCTGCGATGTCAGGTCATGGTTTGGAGTGCAGGAGAAGAGCCATTCTGTGCCTAAACCAAAGCAGATCTGAGGTTCCTGCCGCAACATTTGTGTGCGGCAAACAAACACCTGGGGAGCCCCCAATGAGCGTGGGGTTTTGCTCTGCGGTTAAGTGGCTGCACTGAGGGCCGAAGGGGCTGTGAGGGTTCCTTGGCCTTAAATGCAGCCTTTGGGCTTCACCTTGAGGGCGTAAGGAACCACCAGAAGCGCTGCAGCTCAGTGAGACCCAGCACAGCACACACCTTCCCCTCCCAGCCCATTCAGGGAGTGCTGCTGCAGCCCCATGTGAGCCCTGACAGCGCTGGGGGGAGCAGATGGGCCAGAGTGGGATTAAGGGGAGGCTGAGGGGGGCAGTGCTTAAAGCCCTGGATTACACGTGGTTAATCCCTGGGATTACGCTGTAATCGCTCCGCAGAGGAAACGGGGAGGGAGGGCCCTGCTCAGCCCACAGTGCCACCACCCCAGGACCCACACGACCCTCCTGAAAACCAAACCCCGAAACGAGGCAGGGAAAACTGCCCTTCTGCCCCACGGAAAAGACGGCAGCAGCCCAACGAAGACGTGGGGTAAACAACTCACACCGGAGACGTCGAGGGATCCCCGGTTTGGATCTGCTGCTGGGAACTTCTGCCCCTGTGGTGTCCGTGGTGTCACAGGACGGCGCTGAGCGGCTCCTCCTCCCCGGCGCTCGGCCGCCGGCAGGGCAGCGCCCGCAGGTACTCGAGGTGCAGGCGGGTCTCGGCGCGGCTCCTCCTCACGTAGCGTCCCACGTAGGCGAGGACGGCGCCGAGCCACCCACCCACGGCCACCAGCATGGCCACGTCTGGCACCCGTGGCTGCCCGCTCCCTGCCAGGGTTTCGTTGCGACCGCCGGCGGTGGGGGGAAGGCCCTGGGGACCCCCCCAAGGGCAGCGGCTGCCTCGGGGGCAGCAGGGCAACCCCAGAGCCAGCAGGAACAGCCAGGCTGCCTGCATCGCCCCGCAGCTGCGGCAGGAGGCGGGGAGCGAGGGGGGGAGGTCCGTGTCCTCCCCAGGACAGCTGGGCTGGTGACGTTCCCCTCCCAGGGGCAGCTGGGATGGAGGGAATCACAGAATTGCAGGGGTTGGAAGGGGCCTCCAGAGATCATCGAGTCCAACCTCCAAACCAACAACAGAGTGCTGGGGATGGTGAGGCTGCACCTGCTTTTGCACCCCAGCATGTGACCTTTTGGAACCCCATGTGCCCCCCTGTGCCCCAGGACACCTCCGAAGCAGCTCCCACTACCTGACCAGCAGATGCATTGGGAATGCACTGGTTTTTTACTGGTGTTGGCAGCCAGTACATAACAGGCCAGGCTTCAGAGCACCGAATCCTTAAAAGCCTCTTGCTCTGCTCTGTGCTTTCGGACCGGTCTAACGCTGTAACTGGGACCAGTGGCAGCTCACAGCTGCTTTGGTGTCCTGCTGTGACCGTGCCAACAGTCCATGCGAAGTCCCAGCACAGGCAACTCATTGGGGGGTGGGGAACTCATCCGCTTTGTGCTCCCACCCCCTGCAGTGCCAATGTCCTCCGGGCCATCTCCAAAGCCCCCTCCCGCGTACGGTTGCCTCCGATGAAGCCGCTGGAGTGCACGAAGACACAGCCGGGGATGCCGGCGAGCTGAGACAGCGCCTCGTCACGAACACCCCGCCACGGCTCGGGGAGAGGGAGGCTGCGATGGTGGGAAAAGGGGCAGGGGGTTGAGATCCTGTCTCCTCCTGGCAGGGGAGGCGCTGGGGACGGGGCTCACCGGCTCTCGAAGCTGCGTGGCCCCACCGGGACGCTCTGCACCCGCCACTGCCCGCTGCGGTCGGGGAAAAGCACCAGCTGGAGCGGGTTGGGCAGCGCCAGCTCCTTCTCCAGGCTGAAGAGGTGCTCCTTCCAGGGGCAGCCGCCCTGCGGGAGCTCCAGCATCACCCCGCTTGTGTCCACCTGCAGAGGGAACACGATGCGGCTGCGTGGTGGCACGTGAGGTCCTGCCCTGTGCCCCAGCACTGCCCTGCGCCTCAGCTTCTCCCCCCCCTTCATGCGCTTTTTGCCATCTGAATAGCACAGCCCCCCCCTCCCAATGAGACCCTGCGCTGTGGGGATGCACCACCACCTGTTTAGGGTGCATGGAGAGTGGTGGTGGAGGGTGGGAATGTGTGACAATGTGTGGTGTTACAGGGGTGCACAGAGGGTGGCTGTAAGGGTGCAGAGAAATGGGTGCACAGCTGTGCCCTGAGCTGTGCGGGGAGGTCAACACCAAGGGGGCCTGGCCTCCCCTTGCCCCAGGCTTCCACCCACCCTTTAAACCCCCCCAAAACAAGCACAGGGAGCACCTCAAAGCGGCGCCGGATGGCGTCCTCCACGAGCGCCCGCGCAGGCAGCCAGGCACGGTGATAATAGTCGAGCCTGTCCATGAACTCACTGCCCACCAGCTCCACTGCCCGCTTAAACCCAGCCTGGGGATGCAGCAGAAGATCAGCAGCGACCCCAAAGAACGCAGCTCTGCGTTCCCCCTTTCCCACGTGTCCCCACCTCAGTGTCCTGGTCGGGGTCGTTCCAGCGGGGGTTCAGGTGCCCCACGCGGGCGCTGAGGTTGGTGGTGAGGGCGTAGCGGGGCTCCCCGTCCGTCTGCGCGATGCCGTTGTCGATGGCGTCGATCTCCTCCACAAAGTTCTCATAGAGCTTGGGGACAGGGTGGGGTCAGAACGCCTGGAACCCAACCCCTCTTTTATGGGGTGGTTTCCACAAGGGAAAGTCATGCTGGTGGGTCACAAATCCCCCGTACCTTATCGTAGAGTGCAGTCACAACGGGGCTGTCCTCTGGCTGTCCCAGAAGCCCAGCAAGGATTTGGGAGCCAAAGTGGCAATAAACCAACCCAGCGCTGCTCAGTTTGGTGGTCCAGGGCTTGCTGGGCTGGAGGCTCCGCATGGACTGGGTGAAAGACCTGTGGGGTCACAGGGTCAGCCCTCGGGGGGGGCTCCCTTATGTGGTGACCCCAACGTGGTGGAGTGTCTCACCTCTGGTGATGGTCATAGCGGTGCCTCTCGGGGTCATATTCGCCCCCCACATCCACCACCACATCGCACTGGGCCAGGCGTTGGGGGTCCCGGGTCCTCACCACCTCTGCGTCCTGCTGAGGCATGGGGTGAGGCTGAGGGGGGCCCAGAGTGGGACTGGGGAGAACGGGAACCTCAAGGGGGAAATGGGGACATAAGGGCAGGCACCACGTGGGGCTGAGGACCCCAACAAGGAGCTGGGGAGCTCAGTGTGGCCCCAGTGAAGGACTGGGGACCTGAAAGCGTCCTCCAGGTGGGGCCATGGATTCTGACAACAGCCTGGGGATCACAGGGTGGGCCCTAAGCGAGACTGGGGACTCCAGCAGGGGGCTGGGGATACAGAGTGGTCAATTGGTGAGACCGGAGACTTTGTAAGGGAAAGGAGAGCAGGAGCGGCCCCCAGCGGAGACTGAGGACCCCAAAAGGAGGCTGAGGACCCCACTGCGGCCCCAATGAAGGATGGTGGACAAGAAAACGCGAGCTTGGGGATCCCAGGGAGATTCTTCAGTGGCACTGAGGGCTCCAGCAGGGCCGGGGGACCCACGGGCGACCCTGAGGAAGGGCAGGACTCGGAAGGTAAGACCGGGTCCGAGTGCAGAAGGGTCCGAGAAGGCCGCGGCCGTACCCGGTAGCGCGGCAGCAGGCGCAGCAGGAAGCACGCCAGCGCCTCGTCGCAGTGGAAGGTGCCATCGTGGGTGCCGATGCGCGGAACCGGCTCCGTTCGGGCCCGCTTGGACCCGGCCCCGCTCCCGGTGACGGCGGCGGCCATGAGGGGAACGGCGCGCAGACCGCCGCGCATCACTGCGCATGCGCGGTGCCGCCTCCGCGACGCTGCGCATGCGTGGCACCGCCTCCACAACACCGCGCAAGTGCGGCCCTGCCTCCACAGCGCCTTTTGACGGCGCATGCGCATGCCTCGCCCGAAGGCCCCCCCCCCGCCCCGCCCTTCTGATCTGCGCGTGCGGCGGCTCAGCCCGCCCCGCCCTTCTGTACTGCGCATGTGCGGCTCTGCCCCGCCCTGACCCACCTGCGCATGCGCAGAGCGCGGAGTTTTGGACACGTGGAGGGGGCGGGGACGTGGGGACCCGGGGGGGTACGTGGGAGGGGAACGGTGACACGGGGCTGCGGGGAGGGGAGCTGAGGAGATACGGAGTGACACAGCGATACGTGTGGACGCGTACCTGCGCACACGGGGATGCGAAAGGAGATGGGGAGAGAGGGACATGCGGACACGGAACAGCACGGACAGAAGGACACTTAGAGCAGCCCCACCCAGACACAAACCCGGACAGACGGACATTTCCAGCAGCTTCACACGGACCCGGACAGACGGACACAGCCCCACAGCGCAGCCGGTGCTGCTCCCAGGCCACGTTTATTTGCACGGAGATGGAGCCCCGCTGCCCCCTGTGCCCACCGCGCAGCGCCCATCCCCAGGCACTGTCCCCAGGTCCGGCTGCCTGCAGGGTCCCCACCCCCGCTGTCCATGCAGCGGACCGTGACCGCTGTGTGTCCCCAGACACGGTGCTGCCTGGCGTCCCACCAAGGCACTCAGCTCCCGCTGCTCCTCTGCATTTCATGGCCCCAAATCCGTCCTCGTGCTGGCGCTGCTCCCATTGACCCCTCCTGAAGGACCACCACCCTGCAGAAGTGGCTTCAGTGGGGTCAGCGGGGATGGGGCACCCTCCAGAGCTCCAGCATTGCACAGGAAACCTCAGCGTGCCCAATTAGCTCCGCCTGGCTTCAACGTGACAACAGACTACACCCTTACAGGATGGTGTCAGCAGCGGGGCTGATGTGGGACACGGGGTGGCAGTAGTGCTGGGAACACACATCACAGCCCGGCTGGCTGTTCCTGGCTGTGGTTCCCTTCTCCAACCTCTCACCGCTGTCTGTGGGGCTCTGAGGAGCAGCCTCAGCATTTTCCTGCATGGGTCTGGGGTGTGCAATTCCATCAGCATCACATTTCTCAAATCGGGGGTGAGCGGAGGGGTCCCTCAGGTTCAATAGATGCCTTTGATGGTTCCCCAGTGCCATGAATCTGCAAAACCTGAGCCTCTCCTTCCGAGCAGCCCCAGTTTCTGGTCAGAAAAAAAGTGGTTCAAGGCAGCCCAGCCTCAAAACATCCATAAAGGGATAAGTCAGCTCTTGCAGACGAGTGAAAGAAACACTCATGGGGGGGGGGGGGGGGGGAAGCACAGATCTGGGTCTGCAGCGAGCAAACCTCGGCCGCCGTGGCTAAGAAAACAAAGCAGGACCTGCAGTAGTGTGAAACGAAACTATGTACAACCTCCTCCCAGGGTCACAGCCCTCCTCTCGGGGGCCAAGGCTGACTTATCCCTTTAGACGCGGGTGCTCAAACCCACGGCTGGAATCAGGAGATCTCGTTGCCGAAGACCTCGAGCACCAAGGGCGTGAGCTGCATGCTGTGCTCGGGCTGGAAGGAGAGGCAGCGGTACTGCTTGGAGTGCTCCTCGTTGAGGCTGCGCAGGTCGGCCAGCTTCTGGATCATCTTGGCATACAGCAGGCGGCTGCCGGGCGGGGGGTGCCTGCAGCGGATGTAGGTCTGCAGGATGTCCGAGAGGCGGTCCTGGATGGACTCCACCAGCGAGGTGTCCTGAACGCCGGGTCGATCTAGGGAACACCAGCATCATCAGATCGGCCCTTGGAAAAGACCTTGGAGGTCATCGAGTCCGGCTGTTAGCCTGGCACTGCCAGGCTTGGGGATATTGGTGGAGCCTTCGTGCTGCCAAAGCCTGGCAGGGTGGGGAGCTTGGGGACGAGCGTCCTCCTACCTGGGGACAGGATGCAGATGGCCATGAGGAGCACGTGCTCTTCCTCGTGAAGGTTCAGCTTCTTCAAGCCCACCTGGAACTTCACGAGCGGCTCGAGGAGCTCCATGCTGTGGCCGGCTGGGGACAGAGAGGAGCTGTTAGCACCTGGGTGAGACCTCAGATCTGCAGCTGAGAGATGAGCGCGGAGCTCAGCGCCTCCTCCTTCAGTGCAGCGGAGCGCCAGGATCACAGAATCACAGGATGATTTTTGACAGAGCTTTAAAAACATTATTTCTTTCAATCTTTCCTCCCCAGCAGCGTCTTTAAGGCAGGAGATTATGGAGCAGATGACTTCAGAAAGGCAATTAACCTACGGGCGGTTTGCGTTCCTTATCGCTCCCACACCGCGCCGCGTTGTGCAGAAACACCAAAACACGTTTTGGGTGCCCACAGCACGCAGCAAGCAGATCCCATCCCTGCCCTCCGTGGCCCCACGCCTGGTCCTGATGTGCTGTTTGCTCTGCCTGCTTTCCTTGGGATCTCACTGGGGGATCTCTGCCCTTGCACCAAGGATCTCAGCATCCCAGGGT